TATGTGGCATTATATATTGTCATGTGTCATTATGTGGTGTTATATTTGGCATTATGTCTTTTTTGACACTATATTAATAGTTAATGTGACACTCCGATGAAGAAAGTGGAGATTGTGATGGTAGTGTCAAGTGACTTAGAAAAATCAATCCTTTTTGTGGAAAAAAAAGCAGCTGCATCCAATTTTTTTAAAGCAATTGTAAAAAAAATAAGACATTGAAAGGGAGCCCACATTATGAGTGGTGATATAAAAAGTTGGTTGGCAAGGTTGTGAAAACCATTATGACGGACTGAAACCAATATTAATGAGTCATCATGCCCTTTCAAAAGAAGATTTAATAATTGAAATTAATCATAAAAAATCTAATCTGGAGAAAAAAAATGATTGGGGGCCTCAGTATAAAATAAAGCGCAGTGGAGTGTATAATCAATTAATCATGCGTGATCATAATTACCTAATAAAAATCATTGGCAGTCTAATTAGGAGAAAGTGTGGAAATGATTTAATTAATTAAGTCATTTACTCATATTTAGGGGAGTTTAAGTTTTAACTCTTACTTTTAAGATATGATATATGTTTTACTCCTATTTTGGTTCTTCTCCCTTCATTCTAATCAATCCTCTTCTCCGGGTCTTTAAGGCCCGGAACTCCTTTTTCCACTCTTTTCTCAATTATATTTTAATATTCAAGTTTAGTTTTGTTCTGGTTGTCCCAAAGTGGCTCCAACTTTGCTCTCTGTTGTAAGTTTTAATACTTGCAATTTTAATAAAATATTTTCTTTTATCATGCACTGTTAATATCTAGTACGGGTTAAGGCCAGATTATGGTCCTGGCTAAATTTGGGCATACACTCTTTATGTTTATTTAATAGTTCGAATAATTGTTCTAGAATTATTTTTATTATTAAATTAATTAATTATGTCGAGAGAAAAATTAATTAAGTATTGGAAATTAGTTTTTGCCTTGTCTATGAGGATATAAAATTAATTAAGACAAACTTTTTAGAACACATTAATGTTGCCTTGAGAGAGGATAAGTTAATGAAATATTTGTGACAGAAATATTATTATTCTAGTTATTGATTATATATGTGACCACAGTAGTTAACCCAGATGATGCCTTGGCCCAAAGTGTTGTCCTATACCCATACTATTTATTTTTTTTCTCAAAAGCACTAGTAGTTTAATTGATTTTTATTTTCAAATCAAATCGAGAAGACTTCTAGACTCGTCCAAACCTACGCCAAGTTAGAAAAATTAACTAAATCCCTTCGTCCACTCCTCGAGAGACCTGACACTATGAGAAAACTAACTCTTCATTGGGAAGGTTTACTTACCAAAAATGTAACACCCTAATCCGTCCAGGTCTGCAGCCCCTTTCGGACTAAAGTATTTAACTTGGTAATCGTAAAATTTAAAACTTTTCAAACACACTTTATTAATCTTAATAATATGTTTCATAACATATACAGTACGGAGTATTTAACAATATTGCGGAAGCGAATTTAATATTGACATATCATAAATCATTTCAAAACTTGTCACATCCATCCCGACAATCTCGCCCCATCTGCCGCCAGGATCACATTAGTCTTTCTGTTTACCTGCGTGTAGCAAATAAAACATACTACACGCTCAGCGGTGAAGCTGAGTAAGCATATCTAAAACGTCGAACATCCACATAAATTGAATCTCAATTCATAATCAACCATTTGATATCATGCACACAATATATGGTTCAAACATTCAAAATATTTTCAATATTTTATTCTAAGTCATTTGATATTCAATATATATATCAATAATACTCTTAAATTATTCTTAATCTAAGGCCACATCATTTTATATTCAGCTCTTAGCTATTCCTAGTCTAAGGCAGTAATTCTAACCAGGCCCTTAAACTATAAATAGTTTAATGCAGAACACAAGAATTGATAATCCACCCTATGAGTCATGTGGATTACGTACCAACCGAACAGTGAACTGTCGGGTGGGTGATATCCGTTCTGGATCCCGTACGTACGTTTTAACCTCGAAATATGAATTGGTCAAGGAGGTATATCTTAGAGTTCTTCTAGATATCCTTAATAATCATCATCATAATACAAGTGGGTATATCTTAGAGTTCTTCTAGATATTCTTAATAATCATCATCATTATACAAGTGGGTATATCTTAGAGTTCTTCTAGATATCCTTAATAATATACATCAATTTCATAATCATCATTATATCCATTTTTAATCATGATTTAATCATACCAATCAGTAGGTTAATCATTCATAATTGGCCACGATAATAGTTCATCATAATGATCATTCAACATAACATTTAATAACAATTAGCGGCCTAGTCTCGAGTGTTAACACCCGAACTTACCGTCATGCATCACATAATGTTTTAATTTGTTAAAAACATCATTTTTGTTATGAAAA